GGAAAGAGAAGGGGAAAAAAATCTTGTCTATTAGAGTATCTATGCTAAATGAGGCTGATCGAGTGGGCTGTAAGTACCTGATACTTAACTTTTGATGTCACTAGGGTGTGGGATGTAGTGGTCCATCCAGGTCAGGTCTTTGTTCAAGCCTTGATTAAAAGTGTCAAATTTGCGGATATGGGATTGGAATGCTGCATCACAGCATGGAGATACAGCACAGTACACTGATGCAACATCACATTGCAGAGATTTCCATTTTCTGATATGGCAACTCAATAGAGAAATCCTGCCCCTTTGAAGTCAATAGGAGTTTTGTTGTTGACTTCAATAGGGCCAAGATTTCACCTGTGATTATTTTGAATCCATGGGCAAATACAAAAAGATGGCAGCCCTAACAGTGTGAGCTGGGAGTCTGCAGAAACATATCCCAGTTCTCTGATTGCTACCAGGAAGCCACAAAAAGTCACTCTGATTACAATACCAACTTCTCTATTATGTAGTAGCAGACACCCCACTTTTCCCTATCTCCCAGCAGAAGCTGTACCTCAAGCCCATCTCCAGTTAGGGGTTCATTGCCATTATTGTCAGTACTTGAGCCAAGAAGTGCAACAGCACATATTTACATGCTGGCCTGATTAGGGATGGATTTAAGTATGTACTTAAATGCTTTCTTGGGATGGGGATTGGGTGAGCAAATCAGCCGCAAATTACAATGGGGACAGGAAGGTATGAGTTCCAGGAGGATGTGGCCTTTTAGCAGTAGAGACAAGAATGGTGTTTGGGACATATCTTACTGGGAAAATAACAGAGTCTGAGCTCAGGTCACTCAGCAACTCACGATTTCCCTAAGAAATGAATAGACAGTTTTATTTCTCTCTTTGTTTTTACTATCTCTGCTCGTGTATTTAAGGGTGGGTGAGTGGGGGAGAATGTTGCTAAAAAAATAAACCAAATCTCCAGGAAGAGTGACTTGTCTTCCATCAGCCTCCCATCAAGTTAGTGCTGCTGTAGGCAGAGAATAGGTGAGTGGGAGGATATCATGAATATACTATAATCTCTAAGAAAAGATTAAGTACCCAGTAACATTGGTTTAGAGTCATGTAAGTTATGAAGACTAGATTGGCAAGGAAGAGGGTTGGAAATAATAGCCCAGGCTTGGTGGTATGGATCTTTACATATAAAGTAGGTGGATTCTTATTCGAGTGTTTATATTATTGATGTTTGGGCCCAATGCAAAAAAGTCAATGGAAAGCCCTTGACTTCAATGGGAGTTTGAACAGGTCAGAACACCTAATCATGGGCACTAAACACTGTATATGTTTTTTCATATTAGGAACATGTATAGTGAATCTTTATTTTTTAATGTAGGTTATAAAAATTCAATTTCAACGAAATTTATGAACACCAGAAGAAGGCTAACAGCTCAAGATATGGACATTACCTACCTGGAATAGAACAAGTAGATTTACTTCACCTCCGGCTACTTTCTCATCATGCTGTAAAAATAAAAATAAAAAGTTAATTTTAAAAAGTTACTGTACATGTCACAATGAAATGTCCCATTAAAGGCAGGTAAACTTTAAATCAGTGTTTAGTAACTATTTTATTTTATGTTAAATTTAAATTTGGTAGTTCTGGAAGCCAAGCTAATGGGTTAACAATGGATGTTTGATGTTCTTAGAAGCAGTTTTTAATGTAAACAAACAGCAGCAAAGTTTACAACTCCCAGGTATCTGCAAAGTAGCAGTATTCAAAATATGAGACAGATGTCTCTGCTTTCACAAAAGACATAAAAGCCGGTATGTGACTGCTTCTCACCTCCACTGCAATCACATTAAGCTTCCTCCGGTGTTTGACCCATTCATCAAAGTCACCCAGTTGAGCCAGGAGTTTAAACAGAATGAAATGTCCAGCTGGAGCTGCCTCCTTTGCAATTCTCTGGTCCAACAGAGAGAACACCCACTGCCTCCCATCACAGGGTATGTCTAGACTACACGTCTCGGTCAATGGATTTAAATAATCGCCACTTCATTTAAATCAAAATGGCCACCGCGCTGTGCCGATCAGCTGTTTGTCGGCACAGCGCAGCAGTCTAGACGGGGATCTGCCGACCCCAGAACCTTTTGTCAGCAGATCCTGTATGCCTCGTGAAACGGGCAGATCCCTGTCTAGACTGCCGTGCTGTGCCGACAAACAGCTGATCGGCACAGCGCAACAGCCATTTTGATTTAAATGAAGCGGCGATTATTTAAATCGCCGCTTCATTTCCCTTTGTTGTCCTGCCTCATCTACATGGCTCTGTCGACAGAGTCATGTAGTCTAGACACACCCACACATGTAAAAGTCCACGCTACCATTAAGAGACAGATTAATCAAGATAGCAATGCATTTGTTGCTCCTCTCTGCTTTGGTTGTTGGTAGTTGCTTTTCTGATTTTACTTCAGTAAAGTTATTAGCTTTCTTTCTTTATCGGGTTTCAGACATTACTGACTTCTTAAAGTTTATTCAGGAATCTGACCATGACTTAAGTGGGATTTTGTATAGAAATCTTAATGTTTGGTAAGATCTATGAAACATAATGGCATCCTTCAAGTGAGCTGCTTTTGATCTCTCTGGTACAAATGCCATGTTTGCTAATTACTCACTGAAATTTTACATCAGATGCTCACTCATCGCATTGAAACAGGGCATCTGTTCTGAAAATAGTAGTCTACCCTTTGTATTTTAACAACTGAGTCATTTATAATAGTTGATGTATGCCCTGTGACATTGTACACTGACGCAGGAGTTATCTTGTGGCTTTACCTTCTTTTAACATTAAACTCCTTCCTGAAGAATTTAATCACACATGTGAGATCAGATAATCCACATGCCCTCCAATAAAGATCAATGTGGCCTGGCAGACAGCATAATCTGGGGTCTGTGAACAGCTTATGCAATGTAGGTTTCTAAAACTCCTGGGTGCTTATCTGAACGGTTTGATGTTCCCCATCACTTGTGTCACTATCAGGATGTTAATTTATGGCACTTTTACATGCTGTTTGCCTGAGGTAATGTGTTTGCATGGTTTTCATTTTATTTCCAACTAAAAGCAGGACAAGAATTGTTTTAAGGGGGAGAAGGAAAATGTTTCAGGTGGGGAGGTATAACAGGGGTGCTGAGAGCCATTGAATCAGACTGTAAACCCTGGCTATAATGGAAACCCCCAGAAGCCAGGGGTGCTGCAGCACACCCCACACGCCTAGTGCCAGCACCAATGAGGCACAATTGATCTAGGAAAGATTGTGGCCAACACTAACACAATTTGTGTGTGTGTGTGCGTGTGCATGTGCGTGTGCGTGTGCAGAATATTGGATGCCTGGCTTCCTTTCTGTCATGTGCACAAAAAGCATGGGCAATGCTAAATATAACCAGCCATGAGAGTGCAGTAAGATCTAGCAACACTGGTTACACATAGGCCTTGTGTGCACTTATGGCAGTATACAGGCAGTCCCCGACTTATGCGGATCCGACTTACGTCGGATCCGCACTTACGAACGGAGCTTTCTCGCCCCGGAAGTCGGGGCGAGAAAGCCCCGTTCGTAAGCTGCTCCGGTGCCCCTGGTCTGCTGGAGACCGTCTCCAGCAGACCAGGGGCACCGGGCGGGTTCCCGCACTTCTGAGGCTTTGCCAGAGCAAAGCCTCAGAAGCGCGGGAACCGCCGCTGCTGCCGCTTGAGACCCGGTGCCTGTGGTCTGCTGGGGACCGTCCCCAGCAGACCCCAGGCTGATCACTCTCTCTCCTATCTGTGTTTTCAGTTTACCC